TGTGACCCAGATCTGGTTGGTTGGTTGGTTGGTTGGTTATTTATTTATTTATTTATTTATTTATTTATTTATTTATTCATTCATTCATTCATTCATTCATTCATTCATTCATTCATTCATTCATTTATTTATGTATTTATTTATTTATGATCATTTATTAATTAATTCATTAATTCATTAATTCATTCATTTATTTATTTACTTATTCATTCATTCATTTATTCATTTTCCCATTTATTCATTCATTTATTTATTTATTTATTTATTTATTCATTCATTCATTCATTCATTCATTCATTCATTCATTCATTTTTTCATTTATTTATTCATTCATTTATTTAATTATTCATTTATTAATTACTTTTATTTATTTATCTATCTATTTGGTGGGACTGGGCTGTTCAGGGGAAACTTAGAGTCTCCAGCTAAGCTAACTTGTTTTCGGTTGGGAGGAAGATGGAGAAGAGCCCAGCTCAAACCGGTCGGTCTGGTTCTGATGTAGGTTCCTTCCTGTTTAAGGGGAGTTTTTTCTTCCCGCTGTCGCCTCGTGCATGCTCCGGAACCGGACTGGATCGGGAAGCTTCACAGCATTTTGCTGGTTTTCGGTTTGCAGGAATATTATTTTCTAGCTTCCTCGTTGGACTCGTTCGGAAGTAAAACTGATCGTATATATGATTATAGGCCTATTGCAATGAACCGGAACTCATCAGGTACCAAACGGCACTTTATGTTCAATTTAATTGGATCAAGGGCCAGTTTTTTAATTTTTTTTTTTATTAATCGAATTAATTGTTGGAACAGTAAAGTGCAGTTTCTTGGAGCTGAAAAATATACTTTTTAGGATCGAGATAAAACAGGAAACCTGTGAAATCTCTCAGCTTTTCAGCATCCAGACAAAAGATAATCACTCAGATAATTGCTGTCTGTCATTTTTTCTGTCCAGCTGTGTTTCAGTTCTCTTTGTTTGGATCCAGAAAGACACAAACAAAGCCTTGGGCTGCACACCTGTGGAGCAGAGGCTGTCAAACTGACGGGGAGAGGAGGAAAAAAAAAGGAAAGGCATCTGGTTTCAGAGCCAAAAGTCAGGAAACCACTTGATAAATTCGTCTGACAGCAGCTGGCGGTTTGTCAGGAGCTCAAACCCGAAGTCAGAACAACAACAAAAAACAAAAGAAACACACACAGACGCAGAAAGAGGAACACACAACGCTTTGGCTAAAATGAATTTTATCAAGCCGCCATTCGTCTTTTTGACAGATGTTCGATTGGGCTCCACATCCAGGATGAAACTGTTAAGAGGTCCAGATGTGACGGTTTTGGTGGGAACCGAAGCAAAACACGTAATGGAAACAAACCCGGAAAAGGATCAGAGGAGGGACCAAACTTAAGGATTTATCCAGCTGGATTTACATTATAACCTGAATCCATTCATCCATCCATCCATTATGGTAACCCATTATTCCCTATTGGGATCACGGGGGGAACTGGAGCCTATCCCAGTAGCCAATGGGGAGAGGCGGGGTCACCCATGACGGTCCCCAGTCCATCACAGGGACACACAGAGACACACAAGGACCAACAACCACACACACTCACACTAAGGGCAGTTTGGAGTCCAACAACCTAACATGCAGGTTTTTGGAGGGTGGGAGGAAGCCGGAGAACCCGGAGAGAACCCACAGACACAGGAGAACATGCAGACTCCACCCACAAAGGTCCTGGTTCCCCCGGGGACTCCAACCCAGAACCCTCTGGTCCTGGTTCCCCCGGGACTCCAACCCAGAACCCTCTGGTCTCGGTTCCCCCGGGGACTCCAACCCGGAACCCTCTGGTCCTGGTTTTTCTGGGTTTTAGCTAACAGCTCTTTGAAACTCTCCTTATTGGTGTAAACGGTCTTTTCTGTGTCTCAACATGTGAATTATTTTATGAATTATTCATAAATCAGATACAGAAACTGGAACAGAACGCCTAAACATCCAATTTAATTTTAATTCTAATTTAAGTTGTTAGATAGTGTGTGTGGTCATGTTTTTATTCTGTAATGATTTATAGGTCCAAAATAAACTACATTCCTCTGAAAATGACTGAATTCAAACCAAAAAAAGCAGGAAAACAGCTTCAGTGAGCCTGAAGAAAACAGCTCAGAACCTCTAAAATGATTCAAAGCAGCTTGGATAAAGAATATAAAGAAATTATGGATTAAACGGGACGTGAAAAGTGCCAGCTGTCTTCACTGTTTCTGAGAGATGCTCCTGTGTTGTTCAAAACTGGGTTTTCTTTCACAGGGATTTGCTTTTTTCTCCAAATTCTGCAGCAGCCGCTTCGCCTTTGATGTTTGCATCAACCCAAAAGGAGTCCGTGGTCCTCCTGGAGGCTTTTCACCCCACAAAGATAAGCCCACAGACTCTCACCGTGAGTTTTGGAGGGGTTTCTTTGTGGGTTTTTGCTCAGATTTTGGTAAAAATGCACCGGGAAGCAGGGAAATGAAGGAGCATAATGAAATAAAACACTGTTTCCAGCCTCTCTCTCTCTCTTTCTCTCTCTCTCACACACACACACACACACACACTCACACACACACACACACACACACACACACACACACACACAAACAAATAAACAAGCTGTTCACCTCACTGGCACCAGGGGGCGACGTGAGGGGAAACCCATCATCCCACCACAGAAGAAGAGGACAGCTCCAGATGCTTTTTAATATATGGGCAGATGTGAAATGATCATAATGAGCTGAATACTTTCCACCATTTTAGGTTATTTAACTTTGTTCTATTATTTATTTTTAGTGGAAAAGTTATATAAACCTTTATACCTCTGTCTAAACCCAAACTGACTTTCTGTAAGAACTGGTGTGCATTTTAATCCGCCTTCAAGCAGCTGTATGTTGATATTTAGTCGTTTTTGGGTTCATTATTACAACTTTATTCACAGACTTATTTTTATTTATTTCATTTATTTATTTTTATCTTTATTTATGTATTTATTTATATTTTATTTATTTATTTCATTACTTATTTTTATTTATTTATTTACATATTTTTATTTTATGTTATTAATCAATTTATTTAATTACTTATTTTTATTTATTTATTTATTTATTTACATATTTTCATTTTATGTTATTAATCAATTTATTTAATTACTTATTTTTATTTATTAAATTATCAATGTATTCATTTATTTATTTATTTATTTGTTTATTTATTTATTTATTTATTTATGTATGTATGTATGTATGTATTTATTTATTTATTGTTTTAATTCATTCATTCATTATTTAATTAACAGATTTATGTAACTACAATCCTCTGCTTGTCTTCCATCTGAGCCTAATTGACGGTAAAACTGCTGGAGACCTTAAAAACCAAAGAACTGCCCCTGGATGAACTGAGTAGTTTCCATTCTTTGTTGGAAATGCATCCCGGTTGTGTCTGTGAACGGCTCAGCCTTCTGATCAACGCCCGAATCACTAACTGGGAGCATTTTTATCCCTTTTTAAAGCCGCTCCTCCGTGTTTGGACTTTCTAATTTCCTGTTTATGCCTGAAAGCTCCGCCGACTCCGTTAAAAGGCCTGAAGTTTGGTTTTCAAATGCAGCTAACGGGGCGTAAAAGGGGAGATTTCCTCTCTCTGGTTCTGACACTTTCTGCTCGTTGTGGTTCATCAATAGTCTTTTTTTTTTTTTTGTGGTGACATACTGGGATAATTATTCTGCTTTCTAAGGCTCAAACTGCTCCATATTCCCTTTCAGAGCATCGATGAGAAGACAGATGATGTGGATTTGGTCTGTCATTAAACACACCCGAAGGAATTACTGTTTTCCCCAATTAAATGACAACAAGAAGACATAAAATCATAAAGAAATTGAAAAATCCTTAATGACAGACGCAAAAAAGGGGCCAAAAAGGGGTTCCTAGCATCTCAAAACCATGAGAAATTACTCAAAATGTCCCTTAAAAGATGAGAAAGCAGCTCTCAGATGTAGAAATTGAAAAAAGGGGC